ATGTTTGGAACAGCCTAGCTGACAATTTCCTTAAAAAAAAAAAAAACTGTGTGCAAGTGTACCTAGAAAAACTGATGCGGTTTTAACCATTTGACGCCTGGCCAATAGCCGTATGGCATCCTGAAAAATGTACTAGCTTTCCGGGAGGCCGCCATGTGGTGTCCTCCCGCACATGCGCAAGTTCCCGCGCTTGCCGCGCAGCGGCGCGATCTGTCAGCGGCCGTGTACCTCGGACACGGCCCATGACAGATCTGAGTACCGGCCCCGTTGCCGGTACCATGTGACAATCACAGCAGGTCACATGACAGTTGTATACACTGGATGTCTTCATTCATGCCATCCATTGTATACTAGTGTCTAGCTGTGAATGGTCACAGCTAATCACATGCACATGTCATGTGATTAGCTGTGGCCAAATCACAGCTAAGCACAAAAAAAAAAAAAAAAAAAAAAAAAAAAACCCCTGAATGAATCGATGTCATTCAGGTAAATGTTTGCTTATAGCAAAGAAATTCTTTGCTATAAGCAAATTGTGTAAAAAACAAAATACTGATCACTTCCCCAAAGTAGTACAATGTTACTATGGTAACATTGTACTACTTTGGACATTGTGAAATATGAAAAAAAAAAAAAAAAATCTTAAAAAAAAAATTTAAAATAAGAAAAATAAAAATATATATATATATTTTTTTTTTCACACTGTCACCAGTCAGTTTCCCTGATCACCGCCATGCCAGTTATATGATGACGCTGTACTGCACTGGTGACAGTATGTAAAAAAAAATAAAAAAAAATGAAAAATAATTTTTTTTTATATATTTTTTCATTTTCCGAAAAATTATGACAAAAAAAAATACAACTTCAAAAACTCGCCATGCCTCTTATGAAGTACGTCGGACTGTCTACTTTGCAAACAGGGGTAATTTGGGGGATATCTGTACTATTCTGACATTCTGGGACCTCAAGAAATTAGATTGGATGTCAGTACTTCAGGATTGATCAATATTCAGATCTATACCATAGTTTGTGAACTCTATAACCTTCCTACAAACTAAAAAATACATCCTAATTTGGGTTATTTTCACCAAAGACATGTAGCAGAATACATCTCGGCCTAAATTTATAAAGAACAATTATTTATTTGCAAACTTTTATAACAGAAACAAAGAAAAACGTGGGTTTTTTTTCAAAATTTTCGGTCTTTTTTTGTTAATTTAGCAAAAAATAAAAACCCCAGCGATGATTAAATACCACCAAAAGAAAGCTTTAGTTGTGCGAAGAAAATGATAAAATTTTAGTTTGGGTACAATGTTGTATGACCGCGCAATTGTCAAACTGTGAGAGCGCTGAAACCTGAAAAATGGCCTGGGCAGGAAGGTGTAAAATTGCCCGGTATTGAAATAAAGACAAAAAGGTGGTCACATCAAATATTGATTTGATTTGGATTTCTCTTCTGGTCATTTACTTTTTAATTACTTATTTAATTGCTAAACTAATTGATGAACCTTGTTACGCAGATCTTTTAACAGTTCTTTTCTGCTCCCCATGGCTTAGTATCTAGTCTGCTCAGTGCATCCATGTGAGAGCTAACAAACTCATTGACTATTTATACACAGACACCAATTGCAATTGAAAAAGCCACAGATGTCGGAAATTAACCTTTAATTGCCATTTTAACCTGTGTGTGTCACCTTGTGTGTCTGCACCAAGGCCAAATGGTCCAGGGTATGTAAACATTTGATCAGGGCCATTTGTGTGATTTCTGTTATCATTATGATTTAAAAAGGTGCCAAACAACTAAGTAATAACAAATGGCTTCATAAGATCACTACCCTTAAATAAAAGACATCTTGTTTTTACTTGTTTTCCTATACACTAGCCCTAAAAAAGAAAGGGGCATTTCCCCCAAATTGTGTTGGTATTTACTTTTTATGTTCTAAGAATCCTAATAAACTCTTTAAACACAACCACAAGTGTGACAATTTTTTCTGGGTGTGCCTCTACATTAATTATACATTGCAAAAGCTGTCACTGTTTGGAACCAGGTCCAGAACAATGATATACAACTGATGCTGGAGCAAGTAAATGCTGACAAGAAGTGGCTGAAAGAGGCTGGAGGAGATCAGCAGTGCTAAGGTGCAGTTATTTTTATTATACAGGATTTATATAACAATACCAGTTTGCGCAGCACATTACAAAATAAAGGAAGACAATACAACAATACAATTTAATACAAGAGAGTTAGGAAAGCCCTGTTCCTAGGAGCTTACAATCTAATAGGGAGGAGCAAGTGGAACAAAAGGTAACAGTTAAGGCAGCTCTAGTTTAAATCAACTAAATACATTCCAGGTGCATTAAAAAACAAAGGTGTTCAACATCTTACGGTTTTGTTTATACCTAAAGTAGGTATAGCCTGCATACAAAAGCCTGTTTCCTGCCAGCAGCTGCAGAATGGGTCCATGCTCTTTAAGGGGAAGTACAGGAGTTAGACAAAAAAAATGGAAACACTGCATGATTTGCAGGTGTGATAGCAACCACGTTTCGTGTTGAAAGCGGAAGTGATGTAACATTCTTTTGCTTCCCCTATGTGGGGAAACACCTAGCTAACAGGTGTGAAGCCTCACTTGCATCATTCACTGTGTGTGCTGCTAGTAATATGGAGTCATGTCAGAGCTTACTCAACTCCAAAGCGGGCAAATGTTGGTGCCCACTTAGCTGGTAGCTGCCAATTTATTTGCCATGTTGCGAGGTACATTATCAAACATTATGATGGCATATACAGTTTCTGAGAAAACGTCGACTGATCAGCATAAATGCAGTCGACATGGTCAATTGAAAGAGACAAAAAGGACATTGAGCAAGATTGTGACCCAGAATAAGAAAACAACTGCTGCAAAAGTGACTGCAGAGCTAAATCTCAGTCCCTGGGAATTTATTATGAAGTTGCTTGACAATTTTTATGCTGGTCTTACACTAGTTGAAAAATCTTTTAATATTTTTAACACTGCGCTGTTTATCTCCTCCTTCCCTCTCTGCCTCTCTCCAGCACCACACCCAGGACTGGCAGGGAGGGGAGAGACCGTGCAGTGTAATGAGCACTGATTGGCTGCTCCTCAAGAAAGGGGAGTGTTGAGCTTATCCTTTATCCATTTTGCTGCCAGAGCTGTTTTTGCGTTATTTGCACACGTTTAAAAAATCATGTAAGACCTGAAGATGACACAAAATCCCCAAACATTATATATTTTCTGAAATCAGAGATCCTAGAGAATAAAATAACGGTAGTTCCAATTTTTTTAAGTCACACAATATTATCGCAAAATTTCAGTAAAAAATACACTTAAGTTAAATTTAGGGCACAAAAAGCAATAAATTATAAATTTTTTTGTAATACATAAAAGATGAGGTTGCATCGAGTAAATAAATATCCAACATGTCAAAATCTTAAATTTGCATGCACTCGTGAAATGGCAACAAAAGTTAGTACCCTATATTTTGTATAGGTGGCGCTTTTAAAGCCCCTTATAGGTCATCAGTATAGTGTTATGGAGGAGGTCTAGTACTAGAATTATTGCTCTCATTCTGGCGTGCGCGACGATATGTAACGTGTATCACAATCGATGTTTTCATGTGTAGGCGCCCAATTGTGTGATTTTACGATTGTGCGTGTGTACATATGTGGGGGTGGATTATATGCTTGGCTGTAACTTCCATTTTTTTTTTTAAAAAATAAAAAAACCAAAAGTCCCCTATGTGATGATTTTTTGGTGACAGGTTCTCTTTAAAACATCCCTCCCCTGTGCGCCACCGAATGTAGTGCAGTGTACATTGCACCTCATTACATTCTTTCCAGGCCTCAATGACCAGGAATGTGTCAAACGGGGACCCGGAAGTGACGTCACATCACTTTCCGGGTCAGGAGAAGAAGGGGAGGGGAGCGGATGTGTCCGGTCTCCTCCCTCCCCTATACAACATCCCGCCAGCGCACAATGAGCCAGTATAGCAGGCAGGGGGGAGAGGCTGACACTGTGGGCTGTGTGGAAGCAATCAGGCGGCACCGCTGCCACCTGAATGCTTACACCTGGCAGATGAGCCCAACTGCTTGCCTGAAGCAGAGCTGAAGGCAAAAAAAAAAAAAAAACTATTTGCCTGGCAACCGGAACTACATGTCCCGGGCGTCAGGAGATAGGAATTGCACATCCCTGTGTTTTCTATTTTGAATACACTATAGGTTTATGGCATTTGCAAATCATTTCATTCTGTTTTTATGTAAATTTTACACAGCGTTTCAACTTTTTGGAACTTGGATTGTATAACTCCAGGAGGATGCATACAACTTTACACAGTACATTGAATTATTAATTTCAGTCCTTGAAAAAGCTCTCCATCAAGGACATACAAATAAACACACAGCCTGGCCAAATTGCACAGAAGCCAATAAATCTTTAGTATGTTATTTTTTTATGTTGGGAAATGCAGGCACCTGGAGGACATTAATGTACAAATAAGGAAAACTGAATTATGCAAGATGATAATGTCCTTGCTTGGAAATGAGCACAAAGCTCCAAAAGCTGCAAGGTGACCTGCTGACCACTAAGTCACTGAGCTTTAGATCTTCCCCTATACTACTGCCTTACAGTATAAACAGAAACATTTGGGTAAACATTTATGTCTTGATTATTAATGTATTTTATTAAGTCATAACATAGGTGTACAGGTTATGTAACACAATAGGATCTTAAGACTGCAGATTACATTTTTTATTACATATTGTCGGAAGGTAAAAAAGGAAAGGGGGAAGAGTGGGAAGGAAGTGCCATCCCATACTAATAAAGTATTTATAAAAAATATGTTGTTTCCGGATTATTTTATATTTTACTCCATTTGTATGTATTTAATAGTTTGAGATTATGTATCAGCTGTTTTATTTGCGCATCCCTTGGTCTCATAACTCAGCTTGTATAAAGACTGTGGTGAACCTTTCCGTCTGACCTGGTACTTACCCGTTTATACCTATCCTTGGCATCATCAAATCGGTTTCGCTTGAAGAGGCAATTACCAAACTTTCTCTCAGTAGTAGCAACTTCCAACACCTTTTCTAGAGGAAATATTGCCTGATGGTTCTGCAAAACCAAATGTTTAGTGTATGTAAGCTGTTTACAGTAGAAGAAAAAGAATAAAAACAGAAAAACTAAAAGTAGAAAAAAGACAAAAACAATAAGTCCTCATGTACACTGCTGCTCCTAAACGTCAGTTTAGGAGCTTTTGGCATTTTTTGCCAAAGCCTCTAAACTCAACTCAATAAAAGCCTATGTGCCCATGTACACAGGCTTCTACCAGAGTTTAAGAGCAGCAGAGCTTAGGGGCAGTTAAACGCTCCTCTCCTGAACGCAGAAGAATTGCAGAAGAACGGTTTGGTCAAAATCGCATGTAAACACGTCTAAACACTAGCCGCTTTTAGCGCTTGGGTGTAAATTCATCTCAACGTAAAATACTCTGGCCAATCAAATGAATAAACGTCCAAGTGATAAACGCAGGTAAATGCGGTATCGGCTTTGGATGCGTTTTTGCTGCATTTAGCTTATTTTCTGCTGCTAGAAGAGAGAAACGTTTAGCAGAGTTCATGTTTACATAAGATAAGATTACAACTTTAATTTTTTGTACAATGACAGTATGACTTGGTGCTGTTGGAAACAACTCCATTTTTCATATATTAGTCACTTACCGGGGACAGAGCAAAGAAAGAGTCTGATTCTGCTGTATCTAGGAAGTCCAATATCTCCATTTCAAACAAGACAGTAGCAGAAGGAGGGATGAGTGGAGGGCAACCCAATGCACCATATGCATATGCTGGCGAGTAAAGGAACCTCGATACCTCTCCTCTTTGCATCGTCAGTACACCGATCTCCATACCTAGAAGTGTGATATCTACAAGAAAACGCTAACTGAAATGCAATGATTGCGAAGGAATCTCTGTATTTTACAGTCACTTGCATAACTTCTACCATAAAGTACAGGGCTACTGAAAATCTGTAAAACAAGCCTGCAGCAATAACAATGTTTTGCCCCTATGACTGCCATGATGTGTAGGACCAACAGGTTAAAAGGCAATTCCAGGCAACAAGTGAAACCAGTCACACAATTTACACAAATTGTTAAGCATCACTTCTTACAAAGTACAGACTTCTATACACTGGTATTGGGAGAGCATTAGATGTATGCTTTCTGAGGTTATGCCATTTACCTTACTCCGTCTCTCCACTGCATGCATTGGCAACAAAAATGTAAACATACATGTCAACCTTAAAGTGTTACTAAACCCACAACAGTAAAAATCAGTCTGTATATGCAGTAAAGCATGCTTGTTATACTCACTGTGGAACCTAAGGGGTTAATCCTCTGCATTTTGTAAAACCAATGTTTGATCCAGTCTTCTTTGATCCTCCCCTTCTCCCGTCCCCAATTCCATCTGCTGATGGAACAGAGCCACGAGGGCAAACTGCACATGTTCAGTTTGGTGTGTGTGTGTATTGCTCGTGTTTTATTATCTTGGAATAGTGCATGTAATCAGCACAGGGAGAATCAGCACTATCCAGACAAAGGGTCAGGTGTTATGCAGCCTCATAGGAAAATCAGGGAGAATGAAAAAACTCCTCCTACAAGCTTTAACCAGTGCTCAGCTGGACACTGATAGTAGTCACATGACTGCTCTAACTGCTGATAAGAAAAGGTATTTAGCAGTTTATATTTACAAAAATTATTGCATTTCCATGTGCTGAGTACTGTGGGAGACCAGATATAGTGAATGCAGGATCCTGGGTTTAGTAACACTGTTAAATATGATTGGTAGCTGTGAGAATCTTCTTTGTAATGGTAAATGCAATAAAGGTGCTGTTCTAGGATCACAGAATTACAGACCAAGGGGACTATGGAGGAAGAAGGCAGTATAGCAGTATCTGGATGAAAACAAAAAATTCCTTGGCAGGCTATACTCCCTGTATGCATTTTACATCTGATAAATATTTAATAGATTGTAGAACACTTGTGTGAGCTTCCAAGCAGTATACATTCAACACAAGTTCCTCACTGCAGACCAAAATCCAACTTGTGCTATAGTTTTCCCCCAGAATATTTGCTTCACATACCAATAATTGTTGAATCAGGAGGAACAGACTCCCCACAACCAGCTCTGATGACTTCTTTTAGCACACCTCTGTCTCCTGACACATCTTGCATGTTCAGAGCCAACTTTTCAAACACAGACTAGGGAAAATATAAAGAGTCATTGAGTTTAACATGCAAATTGAAAATAAATGGCGAGCGCTACAGAGTTGAGAGCAGCTGGCACAAAAGAATGTGACAAAAATACATATATAAATATCAAAACAGTGCAGCACATAAATATCTAGCCAAATAAATAATATTCCAAATCAATAAGTGAAAATATACAAATAAATATTGTCCAAAAGTGCCAAGTGCAAAAAAAAAAAACAAAAAAAATTACATATAACAGTCCCTCCAATGTGAATCTGTATGCTTGCAATGCCAACCAAGAAAAACTGTGTTCAATCCCACCAAGTGCTCCTATCCAGTGCGGGGTGCTCCCCCACCATGCACTCACCAGAAAGCTACTTGATCTGTAACATGTAACACCTCACCAAGAGATCCTAATCATCCACTCTCCAGCGCCATTACAGCCCCGGCTCGGACCTTGGAAAAAGATGCTCGCCGCACGGAGCCCCAGAATTTGTATATAGTGTTGTAATTAGTGTAGTAATTTAAAGATCATAAAAGCATTACATATAAATTATTCCACGTGGAATAGTCGCAGTCACACATACCAAAATGGCCACCGCTCTGATTCATTGAGACACAGCAGCATGACATCAGTACGTAGGCACCACCCAACATGTTTTGTGCACACGAACCTCCTCGGGGCATGCCCAATACTGACATCAAAAATACAATTTAAATAGTCTGCGGGAGCATTGATCATTAATGGGTGTCATTTTGTTGTAGCTCATAACCAGATAAACACGGGCAAATTAAAATTTAACCAGCGCCATATTCTTATAGTACATTAACTGATTATCTCTTGCCAAAAAATGCCTTATATTTACGTATTAAACCATGATCCTACTACCAACATCAACAAGGCGGAGAACTTGACAAATGCATGACAATCTGGCTGAGAATGACATCTTCAAATTGCTGCTCCTGGTGGAGCAAGTAAATGCACATTTATGCCCATATAACACTTTGCTAGAAGCGAACATCACACTGGTGTAGAGGCAGTATGCAACTTTACCTAAAATGTATTTCTAGACAAAACCCCTTTTTTAGGTTGGAATAAAGTGGGGAAGTGTTAGATTTTTTTTATTGGGTTGTTCACGCATGCATATCACCCATCGATTCAGTAATTTTACCAGAAAGATGCCCAGGGACCATTCAAAACATAGAACATGAACCTGAAAGAAGCCTAGTTAAACGGTGCACAGTCTGTCCTGCTACAAAAGAAATCCTGGCCACAGCATCTACCAAGATGGCATCGACAGGCTCTCCTTGTAGCGATAAAGCCAATGCAACTACAGCAGAATCCGATCAATCCTTAGATGGGTCTCCACATATCTTTAAATCTCATACTGCAGATGACCAAACTGAACCTTTGTAATGATTTTAAGAAATCCTACAAAAAGCCCTGGAGGCAACATCTAAACACATTACTGACCACCTTACAAGAAATAAGAGACCTGGGCTACCTTACCCAACAACCTGAGGGCTGCGTGAACTATATCATCTTGAAAATGGAAATCTAAACCCTCCATTATAAAAACTCAAAAACATGGAAAACAGGGCCAGGAGATCTAACATCAGATTTACATGGCATTGCTGAATCCACAACAGATTTAAATGCAAAAATTACTGCCCTCAAGAACTTTGACCAGTAAAATGCAGCATGAGAGAATGGAAATGGACAGGGTCCATAGAGGCCTAACTAAATGCAACCTGGAGAGCTCACCTTGTGATATCAAAGTTAAACTAAATTACTGCAAAACCAAAGAGAGACTACGCGTGGCACAAGCAAGGAGGAACCCCTCCAAATTTTAAAAAGCATACTTACCAACTCTTTGCAGAATAAAGCCCGTTTACAGAAAAGAACAGAGGAGTTGAAGAACTTTAATCAAATTTTGCAAGGGTTGCTTTTGTTATAACTGACTGCTCTGATTACAAAACTACTGGACCATCAATCTCAACCTCTGCCAAAGTACAGTAGCAGCCACTGGCTCCAGCTACTGTCAATTTAATCTTGTTAAGAAGGAGTGGGGGCAGGGCTGAGCCACGCTGTGTCGGTTTATGGACACACACAGCCCAGCTCGGGAGCAAGCCCCACACACGCACCCCTATAGCAAGCAGCTTGCTATGGTGGCACATGCCAAAAGGGGAGGAACCAAGAGCACTGGCGAAGGACCACAGAAGAAGAGGTTAAGGGCCCTCTATGCAATATCACTGCAAGGAGAAGGGAAGTATAACATGTTTAATATTTTGGAAAAAAATGAGACTTTATAACAGCTTTCAATTTGTCAGGATCTAAAACTGATACATCTAACACTCCCCTCCCCACAGACTGACAATGCTGCAGTCCAAAGGTGTCTCTGTTGCTCCTTCATCCAGAGTGTAGGCACTCTAACACAGGAGGTGAGTTACTGGCCAGATCACCAGTTGAAAAAAGAGGGAAGAAAGCCTGAAAAAAAAGAAAATTAATGCAGCCACTGCACTGGTAAGCTGTAATGTACTACATTTTGAGATTTGGGCTTAATACTACTTTAGCTCAAAAACATAACTTCCATTGCTCTCGGCGCAAATTCCATTGTGGGAACAAAGCCTCCCTCTCTTGCCTTACTACCAAGAAGGACTTTGTACTATGAGATTTGTAGTGTGCACAGAGCACTGCACATGACTGCAACTAATATGTGCTGCTTATTTCAAGCAAATAGACGTGAGGGGGAAAAGGAAAGACTCGAGAGCTCATAAAGGACATTACAAGGAGGCAGAGAAACACAGTAACAAAACAATTTCATGAAAAATAGATCACACTGTCATTAAATAGTGTGTTTATTTGGATTATTTTTGTAGAAGGATATTTTTTTTGTGTCAATTTAAATTACTTTATGCGGACCAACCCAGAGATACACCCCTGTACTATAAAACAAAAAATTCTCTTTACAAGGGGCCCAGGGCATTCGTACAATATCTAGGCTTTCCTATGCTTCTCTGACACACTATATTGCTAAAAGTATTGGGACACCCCTCTAAATCATTGGATTCAGGTGTTCCAATCACCTCCATGGCCACAGGTGTATAAAATCATTACCTAGGCATGCAGACTGCTTCTACTAATATTTGTGAAAAAATGGGTCGCCCTCAGGAGCTCAATAAATTCAAGCATGGTACTGGGATAGGTTGCCACCTGTGCAATAAGTCCATACATGAAATTTCCTTGCTAGCATAGGGATGTGCATTTCATATCGCCCAACGCTCTGGACATGCAGTTCCGGGCGCTGGGCAGGTAGGTTTTTTTTTTGCATTTAGCCCTGCTGAGGGCAAGCAGTAGGGCTCACATGTCAGGTGAAAGCATTCAGACTGCAGCGCTGCCACCCGATTGCTTCCACACAGCCCACAGTGCCACCGCCCGATTGCTTCCACAGAACCCACAGTGCCAGCCTCTCCCCCCTGTCCGCTATATGTCCCTGGCTCCGCTTGCAGGCCCGTGACTCTTTTAGACCCTGGATGTCTCAAATAAGAGAACCTGTCACCAACAAATCATCACATAGGTGACTTTTTGTCCCCTATGTGATAAAAAAAAAAGTTAAAATAACATTTTTTTTTAAAATGGAAGTCACACCCAAGCAT